TACGGGAGGGGCCAGGACAAGGAGGCGCAGTTCCAACACGACACGGGCATAATAAGGACCCAAACCCACCTGGTGTCGCTCACGCAACATCGCAACAAAACACAAGAAAAGAAATCTAACCACCAGGTAAGGGCTAGCCAACCCACAAGATAACACTATCCAAGTGCACCTTACACAGGGGAACTACTTCACAGCTCACACTGTCAGGTAACTCAACAAATCATAAACGTGCAATTTCACAAGGGGCCCACACGCTCACAGTGAAGCTCCACAATCAGCCAACATGAACTAGCCATGCATCAACACCTACAAGGCAAGGTAAATTTAGAGAGGGATCGATTCTTTAGCGCAAGCTCTCATGCAGTACCTTCCTGCACTGCAAACAGTGCTTCGTTCACAGGCTGCATAGCCGCGTCGTCTGCCAGCATCTCCTTGGAGAAGCTCGCAATGAGAGGTAATGCTTGCAACGTGGTATCTGCATCTCCGCGGAAGTCTTGTCCTTCACGAAGCAGCTTGTCATTGACGCATTCTTTTGGGCTAGGTCCACCCATCAAAGTTTTCCAGCCGATACCTGCCCACCGTTGAAGAAAGCGGAGGTCGAAGCCATTTTGCTTAAACAGCGAGTACCAGAGACCAATGTCTTGTCCCACCAGACCGTTAGCATAGAATTATTGTTCACATCCTGTAGAAGAGCGCCTGGCGGCAAACAACACTACAAAGAAGAAACAACAAAAACCCAAGAAAACACTAGTCAGAAAACCTCTAAAGAATAAACTAGCACCTTAACTGCAAGAACAAAGAAAAGGCATCAACAGCAAAATACACACTCCACCCCTAGATGCCGATCACAGTAGTTCAAAGTTCAAAGTCCGACAACCGATCAACAAATGTAAGCAGAGAAAGTAGGATATTTAAATCAAAGATGCAATCCGGTAGTAAAGCTAAAGAACAACAGCGACACAGTTTCACAAACTAGTCCAACTGACCTCCGGGCTCCCTTTCGCGCAGTCCTTTCTTTTTGCAGCCAAGAGCTGATAGATCGGGGCAACGAAATATGTAGCTGCTTTGCAGCAACATCGACAGCTGCACCAGAGCTGACGTTCAGTTCAGGGGACCAAACCCCCAAAAGGGAGGCGGGCGGGGCAAAATCACAACCAAGGCCGTAGTGTGGGCCACACACACAAGTGTGGCCAAACACGCTCACACACAGCTGGGAGCAGATGCACTGCGGCTGCGGTTTCATACATTTCACATGACCCATAATGCAACAAATTCAGTGGCACAGGCACAACACAGGGATCAAGGTACCAAAGACTAAAACCAAACAAACTTAGAGCAATCCTCACAATCGATGGCACCAGAACAGGAATGGAAACCAACAGATACAGCAAGCGCCCAAAAAATTACATAGGCACCTGAACCCTAATCAAGGTAGGAACATAAAACACAAACCGAAGGGTGACCAGGCGACACAACCTCGACCCCTGACATGAACAGGTTTCATCAGTTGTTCTCTTCGTTGGTCGGTTTCCAATAAAGCTACATCAACAAGTTGAAGTCTGCTTGATGCATCGAATCCACGTAGAGAGTCATGGATATCCACTCTTTCAAGGACATGCTCGACAGGCACCATCCCAGTAATTTTTCTCCTTCCTGCAAGTCTTTTTGCTTCTGCATCCACGTAGGTATGCCACAACTGCTTGCAGACCTTCATCAGTCTGCCAGCGCAGCAACGTCGTGTCAGCATTCCCCAGGTGCACATGCCCCGGAGGCAGGGTGCGGTTACCTGAGATCACGTTGACACAACGCCAACAAGGTTTAAGACCTGCTACGCCCTTACAGCCAGCAAAGGACCGTAGCCCTTCATGATCGCCCAACACCAAGACCTGGCTAATCCACAACAATGAGGCACCTTGGCGCAGTGTGATGGCTATGCCATGTTGAGCTGTGTCGTGCACATACTCAAGTACACACCGCAGATATTCCGCGTGGGAATAGCGCTTATCCGTAATCTCATTGTTTCTCATATTGCTCAACGGCAGCCAGCAAGAATCTTGAAATAGGATCTTCAGGTCCAAGAAGCTGGCATAGATCATGCATGACTCCTTAGGCTGCCTAGCGGCCAGGATGTTGCCTGGTGTGGCATAATCCGAAAAAACTACGAAGGTGAACCGTCCACCGCATTCTTCCCATGCATCGGACAGCAAGCGCGCGAACAACGGGCACGCATCCACCTTAGCCTGCAAGAGATCTGGAAGAGAATTGACGTACACAGGCACATGTCACCGGACTCCTTCGTCCGAAACCAAACTGGTAAGTTCTGAGTCTCAAGTGTGAATGAAACCAGCGAGCATTCTCTGGGCGATGCTCCTCTACAAAATTTACTTGCTAGATAAAACCCAAGTAAGCACCCACAGGCACGGCCAAGCACTCACTTTTCAATGCGCAGATGAATCCAGGTGGGACCACTGCTGTGTGGCAGCCCAGCAGCAGCCCCACCTCACCAGCCCTCTTGGGCTATGAGCACATGGGCTCAAGCAGGCAAACCATGAATTTTCTCAATCCTTCCATAATTCATGCAGATCTCTGCCATCATACCTGAACCGAGAATTTCCTGACGCTGGGGCAACACGTGCCTGTCAAAAAACCAGCTAGTAGAAGCTGAAACCAAATCCAAATTTCTTTGGCGGTGGGTGGGCGGGGAAAAGAAACCTAACCACCAGGCAAGGGCTAGCCAATCCACAAGATAACGCTATCCAAGTGCGCCTTACACAGAGGAACTACTTCACAGCTCACACTGTCAGGTAGCTCAACAAATCATAAACGTGCAATTTCACACAAGGGGCCCACACGCTCACAGTTAAGCTCCACAATCTGCCAACATGAACTAGCCATGTATCAACACCTACAAGGCAAGGTAAATTTAGAGAGGGATCGATTCTTTAGCGCAAGCTCTCAAGAAGGCAGTACTAAATGCTTTGGCACCCACCAGCCACCAATTCCTGCCTTTTCTGCCGTCGCAAATGCATCTGCTGCACCTAAAAACAAAGGGTCCTCATGCCGCACCTGCAAAGGAATGGGGGTTTGCCCGCGCAACACATTGTAAAAGAGCTGTTCACAATGAGCGCTGCCGGCATCACACTAATCAGCTTTCAAAGTCATAGAATGCACAGCTCACACGCCCATGTTGCAGGCGAGGTGCCAACAAACTTGGCGCAGAAAGGTTGCATATTGGGGAATTGGATACTGAATGCAGTTTCCAATGTGCACGGATGTCACACTGAGGCAATGCTTGCGATACGGCCGAATTTGAATCTAAGAGAACTACCAAGTCCTGAAACTGATCGATAGTCAGTAAACGCGGCACAGCTGCAGGTTTACACAAAAGCTTATAGAAACTGCTCAGCCACGGCCGTAGCCAGAAAGCACCAGCTGTAAACCAAATCAACAATCCAATCACCTTTTAATTTCTTTTTGTGGAACTTTGGCACCTTGAACACGAAGCTGATGCAGCAGCACCTGAACCTTCGCAGCTTTATCCGCTGGCAAGTAAGAATGATTAATTGACAAGTTAAATTTCCAGCCAATCCATACCAACTCAGTGCCTATGTCTAATTTTCTCCAGGACAGAGGAATGCCAAGCGCTGTGAGAAACTACTGCAGAAGCTGCGACCAAAGGTGCGACGGCCACTGGGGCGAGAAACAGGAGCAGAGTTGCTGACAAGATTGGGTAAACTCTATGTTGGGAAAAGGGCCAAACCGTCATCGACGTAGATGAATAGACCATGTTGGACCCAAAGAAAGCGATGACAATGACGGACCAAGAACGCACCCACTCTTGAAAACCAATAGGCCGCCCAACGACATCCAAAATAGCAAGACCTGTAGACGAACCAACGACCTTGGACAACGAAGCAGGAAAGGCCCTGTTCAGCAGGAGACACATTGACCAATTTATGTGCTCCTCTCACATCAAAACTCAAAGCCCCCCATTGTACATCGGGACCAGATAATGACATGAAGCGCTGGACGCTCTCAAAGGTTGGTAGGCGCACCTTCTCCTCAATGACACAATGATGGTTTGCTCCCGAAATCGTCCCATCCCCGATGAGACGTGGTTTCTTTCCAGGCGGCTGTGCTATTCCTAACTTGCCCCCGGCTACCAGATCACCTCACCGCTGTCGCGCTTCCGCCTCCCCTCCAATCAGTTCATAGGCATGACCTGCTGCCACATCCTTCAGCATTAGCTCTAGAGTAAGGTCTTCACGGTCTAAACCACTGCGCCAAGGCTGTAAATGAATTGACAGGTCATCTAAATCAAGGTTAGGGGCAGGCTCAGACGGCTCCCAAATAGCTGAAAATGGAATTGGAGCTCCAAAGTGGGGGAAGCAATGCATCCTTGTCATCGCAACAAGCAGCTAATGCAGACCACGCCTCAAACAAAAAGGGTTGATAAGGAGACACCTTTGTTGAACAATCAAACCCCTTGTTTTGAAAAAAGGGAACCAGATCGCGCTGAGCTTGATGTACTTCCTCAGGAGAAAACAAGCAATTCGCATTAGGGTGCTGCGAATGGGCTTGGAGCCGCTCGACAACCCCCCAGGAAACAACTAAAGCTTGAAAATAAATGTCTCCGAAGCTCACGCAGCACATCAGAATCAGCACGTGGAACTAACCAATTTGCAGAAGAAGCGCGTCCTCCCCCGTCAGCGATGGGAAATGGCGCGGTCATTGATACCGGCGCGGCGCGGGGCGAAGGGGCTATCGCCTCATGGGGCGTCAACGCTGGCAACCCGTAAGAATCATTGCACGCTTCCACCATCGAACTTTTTGCTGGGCCGGCAGATAATCATTCCACGGCACCATGATCAAATTTGCAAGCATCACCAAAAGAACATTTGCCATGCTGTTTGAAAGCGAAACAAGGCGGCTTCCCTTTTGGATGTGGGGCCTCTGACATTTTCCCTTTCCCGTGCCTGCCTCGTGGCCTTTTGGCATCATCAAGGCTGCGGCAAGGTTCGCTTGGGCCCCTTGGCACTGATCACCGATTCTGCATTAAGCACCTTGGGTTTGGGTTGCAACCACATTTGCAAGCTGTGGCGCACCACCACCACTTCGTGAAGAGCGGAATCAAAATGGAACCCATCACTCAGTAAGGCATTGAGTTGACGACACAATTCGCCATCTGCATGTTCTGCTTTGGCCAGAGTCGGGGATCGGAGACCCAGTGACCCCAAACCAGGAGCGGCATACAGCCCCATGAATGCCTGCACCAATCGTCGACCTGCACCAAGGTGGCACCAACCTACCAATGCCCATGCTACTGAACGTAATAAAAGCAAGCGCTGAACACCATATAATGAGAAGGCGACAGGCCTTGCTCCAATTCCTTGACATGTCCCGCAGCATCAGCCAGCACATCAAGAAAGGTCTTCTCCTTGTTCCCCGCTTGTTTGGCGCGATCCGCTTGCGCTTCACTGAGAATCTGCCGCCATGGAATGAAACCTCTACTCACTAGGTTTGATTCTAGGATTACACTAACCGGACCTACTCATATTTCAACTACACCACAAAAGGGATCAGCGCCCAGCTCATACTTTTTTTCATCTGGAGAAACAGGCACAGGTGCCCGGCCCACACCCCGGGGACCACAGTCATCGACCGCCCCCAGGGTGGGTGGGTGGGAACAACAAACACACCTTGCAGGTGTCTATGCACACAAGCAGCACCAATCTTGCTGCTGCTATATCAACAAGCTCTACAGGCACTATAACAAGCATTCTACACAAACGCGATCTGTCCATACAGCAATTGCCATGCCCAAGGAATATCAATACTTTACATCCTAGAACAAGACCATTGAGAGAGAAGGGTTGTCTATGCCCAAGCCCAACCAAACCGAAGACAACCACCCCTCTACTCACTAGGTTTGATTCTAGGATTGCACTAACCGGACCTACTCATATTTCAACTACACCACAAAAGGGATCAGCGCCCAGCTCATACTTTTTTTTCATCTGGAGAAACAGGCACAGGTGCCCGGCCCACACCCCGGGGATCACAGTCATCGACCGCCCCCAACTTCAGCCTGGGATCCCCAAATTCAAACAGGAAGCAACAGCCAAACAAACACCACGAAACCAAACACAATAACCAGGCGCTGATCCCTATCCCCTAAGCTACGCCGCGACTGGTGGAACCGCATACTTGGATGCCTACAGCTGCACATCACTCATCAATTCTGCCACTGTAAGTTCCACTTTGTTTCCTTGAAGAGCGGCCGACGGCAGCCTGGCTTCATCTTCGTTCAGCCGGCTCAGCCTGTCTGCCAGTTCATTGCGCTCACCAGCAATGTGCGCCACATCCAAAGCACAATCTACCTTGAGGCAATGCCGCGCAAGGTGCATGAGCACCGTTGCCAAGGGCGGCTTGGTAGCCAAACCTTTTGCCAAGCAGCCAACCACAGCCATGTTGTCCGACTGCTGATGAAGCACGGCTCGATATTTGAAGCCTGCTCCCTCCACACGCACACGTGCCAATAGCAGCGCTAATTGCGCAAGTAGTTCCAAGCTGGAGATTGCTTTCTGCATTGATAGGGGGAAATCCCAGTCTGCTGGTATGTCTTCCCGCCGCAACGGCACATGAAACCAGTGCAATCCAGTAGAAGATTCAAACCATCCGCCCAAGCCAGCCTTTGCCGCATCTGCCCAAGCATCTGCAGCACCAGACAAGACTGTCTGAGATCCTGCCCAGCTGAAGAGGTTAGCACGCAGGCTCTGTTGCAGCACCTGCAATGAGCGCACAGCAGCTTTATCCAAGTCCATTGTCCGGCTCCACGCTTTGAAGCGGAGCCAAACTTTGCCGTTTTTGAGCCGCGGCTGCTCCAGCAGTTGCCGTGCTTGCTGCAAATCACGTACCACAAGTGAACCTACACTTGACAAGCGCCAACCAGCTTGTGCATCACAAGACCTTGCACCAGCCGCGAGCACTAAATTTTCTCCCAACAGTTGAACAATTTCCTCAATTTGCTGAAGGCCAACACATCGCAACTCTTGTGAGGGGCGATGCAGAGCAGCAAACAGCGGCGCTAGAAAGGGGCGCAGGGTGAGCTTTACTTGTGTTGCCCATACCAACAAGCCAAGCAGCCTGGACAAGTCATCCCTGCTGACTCGTCTGGGATGAATGATCCAATGTTGCACTTGCGCCAGTATCCGTTCTTGCTTATTGATTGGCAGCTGTGCTGAAAACCCACCAATCAAGGAAAGCTTCCAACCAATGTAAGATAGGCTGCGGCCAAACGCTAGCTTTCGCCAAGAAATGGGCACATTCAAGATTTGCAACAATGCTGTCAACAATGAAGCCATGAGCGGCGCAGTCTCACGCGGCAGCAACCACAAAAAATCATCAACATATACGCCGCCAACATGGCAGTGGCGGAGCACATGGTGCATCACACGCAAAAGTAAGGCAGAAAGCCTTGACCACCAGTACGCAGACCAGGACGCACCAAAGTGATTGTTGACGTAGGCGAAGTGCTCGCCTTCCACCTGAAAAACTGCTAAGCCCACATCTTCCGGGTGTGTCCTGACACTTTTATGAGCCCCTTTTATGTCAATTGAGAAAAGGCACCAGTCCTCTGCAGATGCGATGGGCTTTGCCCTCTTTCCTTGCTTATAGGACCACTCTGCAAATCGATCCAAAGCAGCGGAGAAATGGTACAGACTTGGCACTTCCGCACGCTCGCTGAACAGCGCTGCCGGGCTCGCGCCCGATGCACGGGATTCACCAATCAAACGATCATCCTTTCCTTCACAAGACACTACTCCAAGTTTGCCAATAGCCAGCTTGTCACTTGGGAACCGCTGCTTCACTTGTTCCAAACTACCTATACGCTGCATGTAACCCTGCTGCACTTCCATATCTACCAGCGCACGCACCTTCTCCACCTCCCCTGCTGATTTGTGATTTGAAGCGCAAAGAACTAGATCCGGTATTGCACCCTCAACTGGGTCTTCCGTATCCAAAAGTGGCCATACACCTGACGCCGGTATTTTCTTTCCAACGCCCGTTGGAGCCCCTGCTTCTAACAGAGCGCACAGGCCCAAAACAAAGCAAAGGAAAACGTGCGCCAACTTGCGCTGGCTGCAGCCTGCAGCACTGGCGGGGCACCGGCTCCTAAAACAGACAGCACGTTTGCGGAGCATCGGCCCCTTACAATCAGCTGCAACCTGCAGCGCACCAGCGAAGTATCAGCCCCTCATTGGCCACATCGAAAGAGCCAAGGCGTCGGCCCTGCCAGCCTGCCAGCATGCGTATAGGGCATCGGCCCAAGCTTCCTGCCCAGAGCATCGGCCCTGGCAAATCGGCTGCCACTTGCAGCAAGCAGCGGGCATCGGCCCGGCTTGATCAGCAAACAAGCTGAAAAAGAAAACGACACAAGGCACGGTGCCCGTGCAGAGATTTCTCAGCAATGATCACAATAAAAGCCGCAACACAATCACATGCCGGAACCGTATGTGAAACCCATGGATTACCAGTTCAGCGGCTATAATGCACCAGGTTAAAGTTCAAACGCATCCATACTGCGTTGAACAACAGGGTACCAGAGGACAAGTAGTGGTGGTTAACTCTTGACAAACGCAAACCGGCAACCAAACACTTTATCCTTTTCAAGAACCCTGCTGGTTGGGACAAGAAACTGAAAGACCAAAGGGGTTACCACACAGACAAACCAGTCCATGTACCCTTGGACCATCACCCAGGTTAAACCAAACCTGCATTGAGGTCAGATCAATCCCCAAGACCGCAACGTGTTGGCTAAATTTCCCCACCTGAAAGGTGATTGTGATCTTGGGGTTTGGTCCCGTCCTGTCCCTTGTCCCGTCTGGATCCTTTTTACCGCTCATGGCCAAGGGTCTTTCACACGTAATGTGTCCTCCTTGCGTATCTTTTTGGCACCCTCCAACTGCTTGACGGCTTTGCAATTCTTGATCTCTTCATATAAGCCAACCCCAGTTTCTAGCATCTCGCTTAGGATCAAACCTTCAAATTTTTGCAAATCAAACCTGACCCGATACCGCGGGTCAAACTTGTTCGTATCATCATTTGTGAGCGAGTCAGCCTCAATATTTTGCAGACGTGGGAGCCAGTAGAGATCTAAATCCACATTCTTGACATGCAGCTGTAGTGCGAGTTCCATTACTAGACGACGGATGGCCCGAGAGCGTACAGGAGCAGGGTCTTCTCTTGTTAGTATGGAGAACACCATATTACAAAACAATATATTAAAGATGTGTTACAGGCAGTCGAGAAGAGGAGTATCAAGACAATATAGCACAAGTACAAGACAATAGTTTGCATCGCAAACACTTTTGCACACAGAAGTATTTACACACAGACGCTTTTACACACAAAAACTTTTACACACAGAAGCTTTTACACACAGAAGCTTTTACACACAAAAGCTTTCACACACAGAAGCTTTTACATACAGGCACTTCCACACACAGACCCTTTTACACACAGACGCTTGTACACACGGACGGTTTTACACACAGACGCTTTTACACACAGACGCTTTTACACAGACGCTTTTACACACAAAGCTTTTACCCACAGAAGCTTTTACAGACAGAAGCTTTTACACACAGACGCTTTTACACAGACGCTTTTACACACAGACGCTTTTACACACTAACACTTTTACACACAGACGCTTTTACACACAGACGCTTTTACACACAGACGCTTTTACACACAGAGGCCTTTACACACAGAGGCTTTTACACACAAACACTTTCACACACACACACAGACGATTTCACACACGCTTTTACACACTTTTTGACGATCGAACCTCGTTTCGTGCGAAATGGTTGCGCGGAGCAACTTGAAATCGCACTTGTACCTCAGTTTTTGACGATCGGACCTCATTTCTTGCGAAAGGGTTGCGCGGGACGACTTGGGAATCGCAATTTTACCTCAGGTTTTTGCAGATGGTACCTCGTTTCGTGCGAAAGGGTTGCGGCGGACACCTTCAAATCGCACTTTTACCTCAGTTTTTGGCGATCGAACCTCGTTTCGTGCGAAAGGGTTGCGTTTCGTGCCGTCTCGTTGGCACTGAGAGAATAGAAAAGAAGGAGAGGGCAAGAGGGGCAAGAGGGGCAAGAGGGCAAGAGGGCAAGAGGGCAAGAGGGCAAGAGGGCAAGAGGGCAAGAGGAGAAGATGTGAAGATGTGAGGATGTGAAGATGTGAAGATGAGAAGATGTGAAGATGTGAAGATGTGAAGATGTGTGAAGATGAGAAGATGTGAAGATGAGAAGATGTGAAGATGAGAAGATGTGAAGATGAGAAGATGTGAAGATGAGAAGATGTGAAGATGGAGATGTGAAGATGAGAAGATGTGAAGATGAGAAGATGTGAAGATGAGAAGATGTGAAGATGAGAAGATGTGAAGTGCGCAGATGTGAAGACGAGAGGGTGTGAGAAGATGTGAAGATGAGCAGATGTGAATATGAGAGGGTGTGAAGATGTGAAGGGTGAAGATGAGAAGATGTGAGATGTGCAGATGTGAGGATGTGAGGATGAGAAGATGTGAAGATGAGAAGATATCTTAGAAGGTGTGAAGATGTGAGGATGAGAAGTGTGAAGATGAGAAGATGTGAAGGTGTATGTGAAGATGTGAGGATGTGAAGATGAGAAGATTGAGCAGCTGGGAAGAGGAGCAGATGGAAGAGGAGAAGAGGTGAAGATGAGAAGATGTGAAGATGAGAAGGTGTGAAGATTGAGAAGATGTGAAGATGAGAAGATGTGAAGATGAGGAAGATGTGAAGATGAGAAGATGTGAAAGATGAGAAGATGTTGAAAGATGAGCAGAGTGAAGATGAAGATGAGAGATGTGAGGATGAGAAGAGGTGAAGATGAGAAAGGTGTGAGATGAGAAGATGGAAGATGAGGAAGGATTGTGAAGATGAGCAGATTTGTGAAGATGAGCAGATGTGAAGATGAGCAGCTGTGAAGATGAGCAGGCTGTGAAGATGAGAAGATGTGAAGTGAAGATGTGAAGATGAGAAGATGTGAAGATGAAGAAGGGTGAAGATGAGAGATGTGAAGGATGAGAAAGATGGAAGATGAGAAGAGTGAGGATGAGCAAGAGTGACAGATGAGCAGCTGTGAAGATGTGAAGATGTGAGAAGATGAGAAGATGAGAAGATGAGGAGAAGATGGGAGGATGAGAAGATGTGAAGATGAGAAGATGTGAAGATGAGAAGATGTGAAGATGAGAAGATGTGAAGATGAGAAGATGTGAAGATGAGAGGATGTGAAGATGTGAAGATGAGAAGATGTGAAGATGAGAAGATGTGAAGATGAGAAGATGTGAAGATGAGAAGATGTGAAGATGAGAAGATGTGAGAAGATGTGAAGATGAGCAGTGTGAAGATGAGAAGATGTGAAAGATGAGAAGATGTGAAGATGTGAGGATGAGAAGATGTGAAGATGAGCAGATGTGAAGATGAGAAGATGTGAAGATGAGAAGATGTGAAGATGAGAAGATGTGAAGATGAGAAGATGTGAAGATGAGAAGATGTGAAGATGAGAGGTGTGAAGATGAAGATGTGAAGATGAGAAGAGTGAAGATGAGATGTGAAGATGAGCAGATGTGAAGATGAGAAGATGTGAAGATGAGAAGGTGTGAAGATGAGAGATGTGAAGATGAGATGTGAAGATGAGAAGATGTGAAGATGAGAAGATGTGAAGATGAGAAGATGTGAAGATGAGAAGATGTGAAGATGAGCAGATGTGAAGATGAGAGATGTGAAGATGAGCAGATGTGAAGATGAGAGATGTGAAGATGAGAAGACAGATGTGAAGATGAGAAGATGTGAAGATGAGAAGATGTGAAGATGAGAGATGTGAAGATGAGAAGGTGTGAGAGATGTGAAGATGAGAAGATGTGAAGATGAGAAGAAGATGAGAAGATGTGAAGATGAGAAGATGTGAAGATGAGAAGATGTGAAGATGAGAAGATGTGAAGATGAGCAGATGTGAAGATGAGAAGATGAGATGCAGACCCCCACTGTTGGAAGAACCCTGCGCTCAGACGCTCTCGGGAAAAAAGGCACAAAGTGGAAACTTTGTTGTAAGCAAGCGTGATGCTACAAAGCTGTTCCCTCGGTTGTCAGTTCCGGCTGAGCACGCGATGTGGTAGGACGGGCGTCCGCCCACTCCGAATGAAACTACTGCAGCCAACGTGGCCAGAAGCTCTAGTGATGCAATCTGCCTGTAGGTATCCCCTGCTGCATACAACCAAGGTGCTGTCTCATGATTGAGCCTCTCGCTGAACCAGCGGCATTTCTTTGTGTCGGCATGATCCAGCGCCCAGCCACCAAGCCATACCTCATCTCCTTCTGCGCGGGCATCTGTCCTAAAAGCTTCGGGCTGCTGTATGCCAGCACGGACAGGGACCAACCGCCCAGGTCCTTCCAAAGCTTTTGCCAGAAACAACATGATGAGCTTGATGGCCTTTGGCAATTGGTATGTGCGCGTGCTCTGCAATGCTGCCACCCATGCGTAGATTGGGCCCAGAAATGGTCGTAGGTGGTTCAGTGCTGTCAAAGCAAAGGACAATCTGCCTAAAACTGCATTCATATCTGCGATACGCACTCGCCCGCACTCCACACAGCTTCGCAGCCATCCTACGGCCCAACTCGCTCTCGCATGTGACAAACCCAGCGCACAAAGCTTCAAATCTATGCTGAAACCAACCCATGCCAAAGAGTCCACCAGAAAATTTCTTCCAGGTGAAAGGCAAGCCTAATACAATCAGAAGGAAGATTGAAACTACGATTTTCTCTATTCCACCCTTTTCTCTAGTCAACCAAAGGAGATCGTCAACATAGACCAGCAGTGCTAATTCGGCATCCCTTTCTTGCTGTAAGGTTAACTCTAAACCCAAACAGCACTGCAGGGGGGTGGAGACACAAACTGCTGGTGACCCCAGGCCAGCCCTGTGCTGGCTGGGGCACCACTCATACATGCCCACCAAAGCAAAGCCGTCGACACCCCAGCCTGCAGAGCGCTCAGGGGCAACGCCCCTCACCCAAATCATGCGCGCTCAGCAGTGACTCCTGCAAACATACCTGCACCGCTCACATAAGCTCATAGGCAACCATAAGTCGTTACACCTGCCCAAGTGCTAATAGCTCTTTCCACTTGGGGAAGCACCTCCGCTGCGGGGACAACTTCTGCCAGAAATCATTGAATCTGTCTGCTCCTCGCGACAGCATGTCTGCCCACTCGTTGCGTTCCCCCGCAACATGCGACAATCGCAAAGTGAGCCGCTTTCTTGAACAAAACAAGGCACAAGATTGTAGCACCGCAGCCAATGGTCGCTTCAGTGAAAGCTGCTTTGCCGATGCGCCAACCACACCCAGGTTGTCACACATTTGGCGTATTGCCAGCCAGCCAACCTGATGCTGGGACACTTCCTGCGCCTCCACGCGACATGCCAGCAACAGCAACTGGGCTAACGCTTCCAATGCCGCAATGCAACTCTTCAAATCACCAGAAGCTGGTCTGAACCAATCCGGCAAATCATCCAACGAGATGCGGACAAAGAAATATTGCAAACACTCTGGCCGCAACGGAGCACCAGCTGGAAGCCACCAGCCCCCCAGACCTGCTGTTTGGCCCTCTGCAAACGCATCAGCAGCGGCAAGCCCAGTGGCATTGCTAACAACCAAGGGCACTGGCACACACTCGTTAATAACCTATGTGATGAACCTTGCCACTGCAGCTTCTGCTTTACTCACCTTCACTTTGGCGCTTGCTGGGTCGCCAAACTTGACCCACCACCATCCACCGCGGTGTGGCAAGCCGAGGAGCTCATGCTTGGTGGTCACCTCGCGGCTGCCAACACTCAACAACTGCCAGCCTGGCAGGATGTCGGACAAGCGGCATTTCGCCAAGACACGCATGCTATCAGACAAGACTCCGGCAAGTTCATGCACTTGGGCCGCATCAAGTTTTTGAAACCGCAACTGCTGTTTGAACAGGAGATGAAAAAGTTCGCTTAGCCAAGGTCGCAGCCACCGCGTGCCTGTGGTGAACCAACACAGCATTCCCAGCAACTGCCTCAACTCTCGCCGACACACACTGTTCCCCTCTTGCACCAGCGCACGCAAAGCAACACCAATCCTGACACGCTTGTCATCCGGCAGCGAAGCACACGGTTCATTTGTAAAACAGAGGCGCCATCCAATCCAATTCAGATCCGTGCTTAACTGTAGCTTATGCCAGGATAGAGGCACCCCCAAAACACAGGCCAACATTATGCAGAGGGAGGCTTGCAACGGCGCATCAGTCTGCTTAAACAATGCCAGCAAGTCATCAACATACATCGCGAGAAAATGGCCCCCATGAAGGAGCCGGTGCACGCATCTCACATAGGCTGCACCCGCTCTTGACCACCAGTATGCCGACCAGGCTGCCCCGAAGTGGCACGTTCTGTAAACGAGCCAGTGGTTCTGCCCTGCGGAATCTACTGCGCAGAACAGAGAAAAACCTTGCTCTGAAGGATGCACCCGAATCGTCAAGAGAAAATGCAATCCACCTGTCACTGGGGTGCCGCGACACAAACTGCTCCACATCAAACAAACTTGGGAGCTCAATCTTCTCCCGGATGCGAGATAGCTGATTGGCGCAACCGATGCTGCTGTCACCCACTAACCTTGGCTCCGAGCCAGCTTTCTTGACTAAGCCCGCACAATTGGCCCCAAAGAGGCACCGGGCCTCCTCCACACCGCCAGGAATCCAGTCAGCAAACCCGGCTTCCACATCTGCTTGCACTAGTCGCATTACGCAGTCTGGATCTTCCAACGCTGAGCCCCAGGGCTCATCTAAGATCTCCAGTTCCACGCCTTCAGGGCGCACAGGTTTGTCTACTGCACGCCACACCCCTGAAGGTAAAACATATTCCAAAATGCCTGTGGGCACGCCCTCACGTAAAATGCCAGGCAATTTCACATCGATGTCGTCGCAGAACAGCAAAAGCGCACGCCACAGGTCCAAAGTTAGTGGCTGACCCGGCGGCACCTCTACCTTGCAAGGGAAGCCTTTGCTCATCAGAAAGTCCGCTAAGCGTTGCCTCACACACTGAACTTCATCTTCACACAGCAAAGGCTCCCGGCTAGCCTGCGCTACGTGGGAGCGCAGGCGTGGTAGTAGCTGCCACTCACACACCAACTCCAAAAATTGGCTCCGCAGTTCCGCAAGCAAATCTACACCCTTGGGAAGATACCAGTCAGCAGTTGAATCTATACCACCACCATCTTTCAGCCGCAACAATCCGCAAGCATCCAGGCTATGTGGCAAACCGCTTGGTACTTGGACCATTTGCGCCGGCGCATCCTGCTCAGAAGAATTTACTGGCGAGATAGATAGTCATTCAAATTTGCCGCCCCGCGGCTTGGTCTTTGGGATCTTCCGATGATCTGCGCTTGCTTCTTTGCAAATTTCAGCATGGTGATCTGTGGCTCCACACGCTGCACAAGCATGCGCGAACCGGCAGTTCTTCAGCTTGCACTCACCAAGGCGCCACTTGAAACACTCTCCATTGCGTAAGCATTTTGATGGACCTGTGGCCGGTGCTGTTGGGCGCTTCCGCGCCAATGGCTCTCTGCTGAACAACTTTTCCAACTTTGGACGAGGCATCAAGAGAGACCTGAGCATATCCCTGTCAACAGCAATTGAATGTAAAGCATCATCAATGCTCGAACCTGCATAGCACAAGTTGAAGACTTCTCTCATTGCAGCTTGGTCTGCCTCTTCGGCTTCTTGGGCCGAGCAGAAACGCAAGTGGGGTCCTGGCACCTGAGTATAGAATTTCATGAACCTGTTGTTGTAAAGCGTCCAGCTACCTAAGTGCCCGCTCCCAACCATGGCATACGCATGCCCACGCACTGTCAGCAACTGCAAAATAGGAAAGGGCTGATTGGACAACTCACGGTCCAACTGCTCCTCCACATTCGCCCCGCATAAAACTTCTAGGGGCCCGAGAGCAGGCTTCTTATCTTTAAGCGCAGAAGCCACCTTTTCGCTCAACACCTTCTTCCATGGCAACCAATCCCAAGCCTTGTTGTCATGCTGCGTCTTCACAATGTTAAGAAAAGGCATGGAAGGAAGTGATTCCAAGTCCACCACACAACCTGTATACTTTGCCCCCAGGGCACGGCGCAACTGGTCACGGTCAGCCACTGTCAAACCTTTGTTGGAACCAAGCAGCAAACCTGATCCAGGACACGCCCCCACAACAACTGGAGTGTAAGGCAATGCCAAAGCTTGTGGCGCAGCACCGCCGCCACAGCCCTTCATCCACAGGGCACGAAGCTTTTGCACCAAAGGCTTACAAGCCCAATTTGTCTCAGTTGCGCCGTCCAGCTTCAAGTCCACCAGCAAGAAATCTTTGGCAAACACTTCGAACACTTTCTCATCTTTGAAAGAAAAAGCTTCTTGGGTGTCGAAGCCGAGCTCAAGTAGTTTGGCTCGCGCAGGCTCTGGGATCTTTGCTGCTTCTAAGCATTTTTCCCAAGCAAACATGGCTTTCGTTTGCAGCAGCAAAGAAACAATGAAAAGAGCTGAATGGCTCTGGAAAGCTTCGCACTGAGTTGTGAACCAGCTGCTACTTGCTACTCGAACATGCAAATTCCAGCATGCGAGGAAATCAACACCCGGGACCGCAACCGGGGCAAAACACTGCCACTGCAAGGCAAACAGGAGGCTTAACAACCAGCAATAATCACCACCTTTGTGATATGCCAAAATATAAAGCTGAAAAACTCCGCAAGAAAACATAAAACAAATACAAACCGATTAACCGGCAATTGCAACCGGTGCACCAGGCCACCGCAAGGCCAACACCAAACAAGCAACCGGCATCCGCAACCGGAGCACCAGGCCACCGCAAGGCCAACACCACACAAGCAACCGGCAACCGCAACCGGTGCACCAGGCCACCGCAAGGCCAACACCACACAAGCATCCGGCACCCGCCACCGGTGCACCAGGCCACACCACACGAGCAACCGGCAGCCGCAACGGGAGCACCAGGCCACCGCAAGGCCAACACCACACAAGCAACCGGCACCCGCAACCGGAGCACCAGGCCACCCCAAGGCCAACACCACACAAGCAACCGGCAACCGCAACCGGTGCACCAGGCTACCGCAAGGCCAACACCACACAAGCAACCGGCACCCCCAACCGGTGCACCAGGCCACTGCAAGGCCAACACCACACAAGCAACCGGCACCCGCAACCGTTGCACCAGGCCACTACAAGGCCAACACCACACAAGCAGCCGGCAACCGCAACCGGTGCACCAGGCCACTGCAAGGCCAACACCACACAAGCAACCGGCATCCGCAACCGGTGCACCAGGCCACCGCAAGGCCAACACCACACAAGCAACCGGCACCCGCAACCGGAGCACCAGGCCGCCCCAATGCCAACACCACACCCAAGCAACCGGCATCCGCAATCGGTGTAAAGGTCACAACCAGGCCACCATTTGCACAATGTAGACAAATCAAGTAAACAATCGCAATACAGCCCTGGTCACCGCAACCGGCATCAAAGGCTACTGCAAGCCAGGAGAGCGAGTCGCTTACCAAACTAGGCACATGGGCCAATTGTTAGCGCACAACTTCCACTGGGGTCGCACACCCACTATGTCTGCACATAATAAACCCTTGTTTGCAAGGATCATTGTGGTGTAGTTCATAGCCACGGTGCAGCACAGCACAGGGGCGGCAGGCGATGCAAAAAATGTCTGACTCCTCCGTCCAGCAAGCTCTGTGGACCACACCGCTGGCGCAATTTAATACCCAAGGCCCTTGAAAATGAAGGACCTCATCGGCTACATCACAACTTGCCCGCACGTCGGAGCCTACCGATTCCACATCACTGGAAGGTACTGAGGACACGCTGGAACTTGTTTCAATGACATTGATCTCCCCGTCGCTTGACACATCTGTTTTATCATCTTGGCACGGTTCCTCCACATTGTCTACACAAGGATTGGCAGAGGTATCCAGCAAGACCAAGCCACGCTGTAAAGGAATTGCGGGGACCCAGCCGCTCTGCACTGCTGAACGGATTTGTTTTTGACATTCCAGCATAGGTTGCGCATCATCTCTACCATACAGCTCCACACAGGCATTATTTTCCTTCAGCTGATGATGCCCTTGCGCCGCACGCAAATTGCGGTCCACGCCACGTTGACTGGCATACGTTAACAAAGTTGTCTTCAAGGAATGCAAGCTGAAGGTCAAGCAAGCTTCCAACGCAACACCGCCATGGATATGCAAACAACGCCTGAATTGTGCAAGACCCATGCTGTAGGACATTGGGCGCCCGTTGAACTCTAACAAGAAGTCTTGTGATGGGTGCCTACGCAGGATATCTTGAATATGCAGAAACAAACGATCACCCCAAGCACTCTGTAGGAAGCCATCTGACATGCAGCCCCAGACCATGCCACGCCTACGAGCTTTGGTACGCCAACAAGATCCGCGAAGTATGCCATCTGACAGGCAAACCTTATCCAAGCTAATCCTTTGGAGGTCGGACCACCGCAAGCCACACCAGCACATTAGCAGCATATTGGTATGCAAAGAAACAAGTTATCTTCCGAACCTTGACTGGCAGCTTGCTCTAAACCCTGGACTACAGCAACAGGCAAAGGAACCGCCTCCCTGCAGAGCGATTTGTGCCAATCCGTTCCCTTTTTCCAAGCCTTCACTGGAGCAGAAACCAACAAGTTCCCCAGCACTGGGAGCCCCAGCTTCCAGGCCCCAAACTGTAGCGCAGCAAGCGTTGCTACAGCGAAGGCCCTGCGTCCACGGCCGCGGTCCAAAAAGGAACCAACCGCCAAGCTATCAAGAAACGTAAATAATTGTGCCAGCGAAGGTGCTGCTACCTCAAAACCAGACAATAAGCAAAAGGCAGTCCAACGAAGCCAGCCCTGCAAATGCTTCTTCAGCGTCGCAGGTGCTCGATCTAAGAAAGTGCGGATGATGTTTTCTGGGGACAAATCCGCGGCCTCCTTCAACCAACTGCTCTTCTCAGCCACTTGAAGGGCGCAGCGGCCCCATTCCCGCGCCCACTTGCGCCTATCAGAATCCTCCAAGGCACGGGCAGAATCAACCTGTTCAGAAGAAAATGTCCTGCAGGGGCGAGAAGCCACACGCCCGCGGGATTGAACTTCGCAGGCCAATTGGCCACTGGGTATCACTTCTTCTTCTTCTTCTTCTTCTTTATACAAAGAAAAGCGAGGAATGCACACCAGCCTCCGGTATTTGGGGCGCGGCTCTGCCGAGGACACATCATCGGCCTGGAACCTCGACCGCGCCACCGGCTTGCGCAACATCGAACACAACCGGCCGCAACAGCAAACAAGAAAGAAAACAACACAAAATGCAATACAACTTTTACAAGCTGGGCCCTTGCCCTGTATGCTGCAGCTGCACTTAGCATACCAAAGCTACAAATCGCTGACAAAGCATTCACAAAGCCAAGGCGCCTTTAACCTTCCACAGCAAGGGATTGACCTTCCCAATCCTACGGTTGGGGGGGGGTTACCACGTCCCCACATGTAGTAAACCAGACGCCCTAGGCCCGCCATCAACCGGCTCCAGTGATAGGCTGCTGAACTTATTCCAAAAGTCCCCACGCGATTTAGCCACACCCACTCCGGTCCGCGCGCTCCAGATCTGCATGCTTGCAAGCCCCAGTCCTCCCGAGCAACCTTTACCAAACGATGGGCGCGCTTGACGTCACCAGCCAATGCGAAGAAGGCACCTGGCAGAATTTCCAGCAATGTCCGCAAGTCCCCTGCCGTGGGATTTCGCAGTTGGTCACGTACAACGATTTTGCTGTTGACGTCTATCCCATGCGTGCCATCATGTATCACCCTGTAGCTGCCATCCTTTTCCTCAATAGCTCCCAGCGAGGCTACACACAGGTTTGGAAAGCATCGCCATGCTTCAACCAGGCTCATCTCTGTCATTGCCCCCAGCTGCGCTTCCTGCTGAAATTGCTCTTGCACAACATCAGCATGCTGCTCGGCGCTGATATAGTTATCGCGGATCCCTGTACCAGAATTTTCGTCTGCATGTGTGCGCCATTTTTGCTTTCTTTCAAAGACAGCAGGCACACGTGGCAGCTTTGCACCCACCCCTAGGCGTACTCCTTTTGCAAAGGATTGTGATGCAGTGAAATAAACACGGTGATCCGGATCCCCAGCAGTTCCTCCATTGCTGCCAAAAAGAAAGGTTGGTGCTCTGTACGCTCTCGCACCGGTAATTTTGTTCCAGCAATCTCCAACGTCACAAAAATCAGTTCCCTGCCTTTATCAATGGTGGCTGCATCAAAAGGACATTCTGTAAGCTTACCTGTGGCTAGTAGCTGCATTGCCAACTTGCGAATGTCGCATGTTTGGCGCAAATTCTTTTCCAGCTCAACCCCCAAAGCTTCCATCAAAGCAAGCGCTGGTGTGTCTGCCGATGTGCGCCGCATGGCTGGTGGCCACCTTCCAGGTGAGCAAAGGCCGAATCCATCGGAGAAAGGCTTGCGCTTGCCCATCAGACGCGACACCAATGGGGGGCCATGTCCCCAATGCCCGGCGCCTAGCTTGGGCTTAGGCATGCGGTCCTCATCTTCGCCTGAGCTTATTTCCTCTGCAGCTTCTGTCTCCCTTACCTCAGGCCCATACCCAACCCCTGCCAAACACACATCCGGCTCGCTTGGGGCCGTCAAACCGGATCAATCACGCTCGAAGTACTATCCTGGCCGCTACTTGAAGGAACAGCCCCCACCGCAGGCAAAGCGGCGGCCGGGTTTCTGGACCCTAGTCATTCCAGGTCTTCATTCTCCCTGGCCACCTTTGGGCAATTGATATAGGAGTGGTCTCCGAAGCAACGTTGGCAAATGTGTGCAAATGAGCAGTTGGCTTTTGAGCACCCTTTCTTTCGGTTGAAGGCAAAACACACTGACTTGCCGCCTGGTGTACGCCTACTATTTTTCAACGCAGGCTTCAGCACGCTGGTTTTGCCATTGCCTTTGCCTTTCCCTTTTGCGCGCGCAAAGGGGGCGGGATCCAAAACTGGGCCCGAAGGGGCATTGCTTGGGGCAGCTGCGGCAATTGTAAGCGGCACAATGAAATGGGTGCTGGTCACTTCCGGCGCTTTGCATGCTTTCTCCAAGGCACTGGCAAGGTCGTCTGCATCCGCTGTCCGCACCAAATTGTAGGGCACGGTGCTCCATGGTGGGGTGAGGCCGTTAGCCAAACGCAAGCCCGCAATTTTGGACCCCAGGATGTGGTCAGACAGTTTTCGAAAGGCATCTACACAGCGAGCCGGCAGCCAGGCACGTGTAGGGTGGCGACTCTTAGCCATCTCCCAAGCCAACCCCAAGCGCCTATGCCGCAGACGCAACTCTTCAGGTGTCCCTGGGGGTGTGGTCATAGTTTTGCCTGGCTTGAATCGAACTGTGTTGGAAACAGGATCAGCAATGAGGGCAGCATAAGCTTCTTTCACGGAATCTTCCACAGAGGTCACTTCCCGGAGGTCCTCAGCTTCTGGGCAATTGTCTTCCACTTGTTCTAATTTTTGTGCCAGCAATGATTTTGATGGGACTTCTCGGTCGCATAGTTTGCCATGCGTGGCCTCCACTGCAGTACGCATGGTTGCATGCCCAGTAGTGGGTACCACACGCGCACCGAAGCCAAGTTTGGCTTCAGATTTTTGCTTTTCTTGGACAGTCAGCTGCAAGCGGCAAGCATTGCACACATGAAGTAATAGTGCCATGCTTCGTCTCTTCTCTGGGCTCGCAGAGTAATCCAGGGGCAATTCAGCTTTCAATGCTTGACGTGCAGCTTCTTGGGTGTCATCCAAGCCGGCGAAAATGCGAACAGAATCAAAGCCGCACTTGTAGCATGAAAGTTGCACCGGTAAAGGTACGCCGCTATCATCCATCAGGAACTTCAGCGCGGAATCAACCTTGGCAAGAACATCAAGGTCAGTTGCGTCCATTGAAGGTGAAGTAGGCGTCGCCATAGTTCAGACCTGCCAAAAACACAAGAAACAAGGTACCACGAACCAACAGAAAGTGAAGAAGAAAAACGTTGGCAGGCTGAGCCAGCCCCCCAACAAACCTTCCGTGCCTGGAAGGGAGATAATCCGCAAATCCCAACTCCGCGCATGCGATAATACTGCTTGAGCAATACTCTTGGAGTCACGCACGCGCCGTCGAGAAATTGCAACGCATGCGAAGTGTGTACTCCACATGCCAAGCCGACCACTGTGCTACCACAGCAATCTAGTTAGGCTACGCGCAGTACATGCTGCCTGCACTACGCCAACTTCAACCAAGAGTGCTCCCTATCTACGCATGCGAAGAATGCACTCCTCATGCCAGCCTACCACTGTGCAACCACAGCGATCAAGGAGCACGTTTATTCACAATCAACACCAATTCCCAGAGTAAGAATCAGCAGGTTGTGTTGCGCGCAGAACAAGCTACCTGAACTACGCCACAGTGGTTGGGGAAGCGACATCATTTGTAATGGTTGGGGTATCTTTATGCCAGACCCACCCGCGTCTGCACGCGCGATTCCTGGCCAAGTACTATAGGGTGGGGGAAACGCTTTTCGGCTAGTTGCAGCCAGACCGATCGCTATCAGAACACTCCGTGCTATGGTGCTGCTGCTATCACCCGCACTGGATTCGCTGCTACTGCGGCTGGTGTCGACAGGCTGCGACCCTTTGCGCCAGCAGTGCTTACATGCAAAGTGGTATTCTGCACCATCCAGGCTCCATAGTGGGATCACTTCACGCAATTCACTAGGGGTCGCAGGGCATCCGCCAGCTTTGTGCAGACGCAGTAATCGGCGTTTGCCCAGGACTGCAAGGAAAAACGGGGCAGAATCCGCTGCATCCACCAGGACATCATTGACCTCTTGTCTCTCGGGGGGCGTTTCGTCAAGGCTTTTGACAAGAGAAGCGTCGGCAGTAACCCGCGCCGCTGCAATTACAGCAGAGGGGATCATGAGAACTTCGCGCAGCTCCCGGATTTCTTCTTCGCAAAACAAGCAAGCAGAGCGCAAATGATCAAGCAATTCTGGAATCCCAAGGGACCGCAAGTTGCCGGACGGATCCGCACATAAGCCTTGCACAGCTTGCATTTGTAGGTGCATCACAATCACGCGAGCTGATCTTATATATTCATCACTGGAAGTCGTAGCTCGCCAGCGACCTAAGTAGTCGTTGCTCGCGCGGCACTTCCAAAGCTGCCAAAACTGAATTCAGCCAGTTGCGTTCTGAATGCTCGGACCAAAAGGTGACAGCGTCTGGAGATGCAAACATCTGTTGTTCAGAAAATACCCATGACTGCTGGTCACGAACAAGGGTTCGCAGAGAGCGCCATAAATATTTTGAAAAGGCCGGCTGTACGAAGCCATTGATTTTAAACATCCTTTCCAGTCTGCGGTGGGAAGTGGCAGGAAATAGTCTCGTTCAAAAGCCATGTTTGCATGGTTCCAAATTTCTACACCAGTTGCCAACCACTCCGGGCGAAGGAGGAAAGCGGCCCTGCTGATAAAGATAGGAAGAAAACGTACACGGCGACCAGGGCCACTTGTTTTTGTTCGGTCAAGGCGCCCTTCCAAACCTTGCACAGTTAAAACCAAAGATGATGGGTCCAAACCTTCCAGGTCCGAATGCCGCGCTACCGCCCATAGCTTCAGCAGTTTGTGAAAAGCAAAGCCACGCAAATATAAGGAGCAAGAAACATCACAGACTGTAATCTCTAAGGCTGCAATCATTGCCAGTGGAAGCACGGGAGCTTGGCGCTTGGGCGGGGCTCCTGTCTGCAGATCCATTGTTAGCTGGTTCACCGTATTGCGTACCACCTGCAACTCCGACAACCGTTGCGTTGCTTGCACGCCACCAACGCGCTCCAAAAAGGATTAGCTTCGTAGAATTGCTTGTGGAACAGATGGGTTGCAAGGTTCGCAATGCCGTTCGTGGAGGTAATTCAGAACTACTCCTACATGCTTAGGCCAAGCAGAATCAGTGGAAGCTTTGCAGTAAGTCATCAACTTGTTGAACTCCCGCACGTGCTTGCGCAGCGAGGAGGCTCTGGTGGCACCCAATGCGGCAGTTAACGCAACCTCCGGATCATCAGCTAGCGCAGTCTGGGAAGTAATGGGCAGACCAAGTTCTCGCAACAGGGCACCAGTGGCAGACCGCCATTTCACCAACTCAGCTTGCTCTTGGGCTGCACGCGACAAGAAAAGCCTGCTTCGCTTTTGTGCTTTTGGCACAGGCAACCTGAAAGTCCCAGACCGCTGGAGCAGCCAGGTGTGGGCAGGTTCGGTGGCCGCGACAGGCGCCAATCGCAACTGCTTGGCAGCCAACGCAAACTCCTCTGGAAAGATCAGATTTTTCCGCTTCCGGATGCGCGCAGCCTGCTCGCCAGCCTGATGTTGAAGAAGCCTAAGAGCCTGAACACACCTCTCTGGTACCGGCGCAGCGACGCCAAGGCGCTCCAAGCATGTCCTTGCATCCCCCTCGCTGTCAAACATGAAGGCTAACACTGCAGTTTCTGGCGCGCCGCCAGAAGCATTGCCCAAGGATGAGCGGACAGGTTTCGGCAATAATGCCCACAGCTCAGCCCGGCTCAAATCCTTCAAATTTGCCATAACAAAGTAAACAAGAAGAAACACAACCACCAGCAAACCGGGCACAAGTCTGCACTAGCACCCACCTGCCCAAAAGCAGAAACCCGCTGGCGGCTGTCACTGGACATATATATAAACAAAAAGCCAATCAAGGAAACTATGAACAGGTTGAGCACCACAACCTAGAACCGTTACAATGAAAGTGAAAATTCCATTACTGAGAAATCCCTCTCCGCTGCACTCTACGCGCGCACTCCCAAACTCATCATGGCACATGCGGTGCAATGCTATGCGAGTGTCGCTTCCTGGTCAGGTCGACTTGGCGACCAGCGTGCGGCGCAAACTCAAAAGCCCTGACCAATCAATATGCAGCTGCTTGCCCGGATCAAGCAACTTGAAACAAGATGAAGCCCACGAACCCGAATGCTCACACGTATGTTAATGGTACAGATGTCAAAACACATGGTTGTGCAGTCACGCACAATACCTTTCTGCAATAGTTTATTTGAACAGTCTTGTACATGTTTCCCTTGTTACCAGTCTGCAGTGTGGAATGGAAAGTGTGGAGTGTGGAGTGTGGAGTGTGAAGTAAGGAGTGTGGAGTGTAAAGTGTGGAGTGGGGAGTGTAGAGTGTGTAAAGTGTAGAATGCGGAGTGTAAAGTGTAGAGTGTGGAGTATGGAGTGTAAAGCGTAGAGTGTGGAGCGTAGAGTGTGGAGTGTAGAGTGTGGAGTGTAGAGTGTGGAGTGAGGAGTGTAAAGTGCAGAGTGTGGACAGTGGAGTGTAAAGTGAGGAGTGTAAAGTGTGGAGTGAGGAGTGTGGAGTGTAAAGTGTAGAGTGTAAAGTGTGGAGTGAGGAGTGTGGAGTTTGTAAATTGTAGAGTGTGAAGTGAAGAGTGTAAAATGTAGAGTGTAAAGTGTAGAGTGTGGAGTGTAGTGTGTAGCGTGTGGACTGTGGAGTGGAAAGTGTAGAGTGTGGTGTGTAGAGTGTGGAGTGTGGAGTGTGAAGTGTGGAGTGTAGAGTGTGGAGTGTGGACTGTAAAGTGTAGAGTGTGGAGTGTGGAGTGTAAAGTGTGGAGTGAGGAGTGTAAAGTGGAAAGCGTGGAGTGTAAAGTGTAAAGTGTGGAGTGTAGAGTGTATAGTGTAGAGTGTAAAGTGTAGAGTGTGGAGTGTAAAGTGTGGAGTGTAAAGTGTGGAGTGTGGAGTGAGGAGTGTGAAGTGTGGAGTGTGGAGTGTAAAGTGTGGAGTGTGGAGTGTGGAGTGGAAAGTGTGGAGTGTGAAGTGTGGAGTGTAAAGTGTGGAGTGTGGAGTGAGGAGTGTAAAGCGTGGAGAGTGGAGTGAGGAGTGTAATGTGTGGAGTGTGGAGTGTAAAGTGTGGAGTGTGGAGTGAGGAGTGTAAAGTGTGGAGTGTAAAGTGTGGAGTGTAAAGTGTGGAGTGTGGAGTGTAAAGTGTAGAGTGTGGAGTGTGTGGAAAATGTAGAGTGTGGAGTGTAGAGTGTGGAGTGTGGAGTGTAAAGTGAGAGTGTGGAGTGTGGAGTGAGTGAGGAGTTTAAAGTATAAAGTGTGGAGTGTACAGTAAAGTGTGGAGTGTGGAGTGCGGAGTGTGGAGTGGAAAGTGTAGAGTGTGGAGTGTGGAGTGTAAAGTGGGGAGTGTGGAGTGTAGAGTGTGGAGTGAGGAGTGCAAAGTGTAAAGTGGGGAGTGTGGAGTGTAAAGTGTAGAGTGTGGAGTGTGAAATGTGGAATGGAAAGTGTAGAGTGTGGAGTGTAGAGTGTGGAGTGTGGAGTGTAAAGTGTAGAGTGTGGAGTGTGGAGTGGAAAGTGTGGAGTGTGGAGTGTAAAGTGTCGAGTGTGGAGTGAGGAGTGTAAAGTGCAAAGTGTGGAGCTTCCCCCATAGACACGGCGACGCCACAGGAAAACCAGAGACTCGAGACGAGACACCTGGGAGCACCAAAATGAGCATTTCGTACGAGACTTCCTCCATATTGACACTTTCCACACGTTATCAAACAGGTTGGAATGTCACAAAGTGCCATGCCTGCCACGCAAAACGACAGGACAACCTGCTTGGAAACATTCGAAAAGGACATGTTTTCCAGCTTCCCCCATAGACACGGCGACGCCACAGGCAAACCAGCGACTCGAGACAAGACACGTGGATGCAGAAAAACCAGCATTTCGTACGAGACCTCCTACAATTTTGACATTTTTGACACATGATCAAACAGGTTGGAATGTCACAAAGTGCCACGCCTGCCACGCAAAACGACATGGCAACTTCCTTGGAAACCTTCGAAAAGGAGAGGTTTTGCGGCTTCCCCCATAGACACGGCGAACCCACAGGAACACCAGAGACTCGAGACGAGACACGTGGGAGCACCAAAACGCTCATTTCGTACGAGACTTCCGGCGATTTTCACAGTTGGCAACATGACAAAAGGACAAGTTTTGCAGCTTCCCCCATAGACACGGCGAGGCCACGGGAAAACCAGAGATGCGAGACGAGACAGGTGGGAGCACCAAAACTTGCATTTCGTGCGAGACTTCATCCAATTTTCACACTTTGTAGCTTCAAAATCGACGTTTTCCTACGAGTTTTCCTTAGAACCTGAAAATTTGCAACCTCAAAATCAATGTTTCGTGCGAGGCTTCCGTCAATTTTCAGCACATCGCACAAAATGCCACGACTGCCACGGAATTTGCACCTTGTCGCCACTTGACGCAGCCCTGCCAATGCGATTTGCCAAAAACACGCAACACGGCACGTCTAAAGTGCTGCGCCTGCCACGAAAAATGACGATGGACACGTCCAAAGTGCTGCGCCTGCCACGAAAACTGCAACACATCTTCTAAAAACGTCGCAAAAGTATTGCGCCTGCCACGCAAAACGACTTTCGACACGTTCCAGAACACGTCTGAATGTCACGAAGTGCCACGCCTGCCACGCGAAACGAAGCAACCAGACGTCTGAAACCTCCAAAAAGGACCACCTCTGCAAAACTTCCCATAGGTACGGCCATACGGGGATCGCGCGAACGGTTGCGGACGGTTGCGACCACAAACGCAACGTCGAGCGAACACACCCTCAACCCCCAGACCCCCAGAGTGAAACGGGAACCCTTGCTACGCATTCGGGAAAAGTCAGCATCCAACGCTCGTCTGCGCGACAAGACATCCGCCCACTCGTTGCGACTGCCGGCCACATGTGAAATGCGAAGTTACAGCTTGTGGCGAGCAGCATACAGGGCCAGAGATTGCAGAACACTTGCCAGGGGCTGCTTCAGGGAAATGCCTTTGTGCGAGGCAGCAACCACACCGGCATTGTCGCAGCTCTGGCGCAGAGAGATCCAACCACCTTGCCATACATCCCCTATAGATGCCGGCGCTGGGCATCCAGCAAGACCAATTGCGCCAGGGCTTCCAGGGCTGCGATGTGTCGCTGAGGCTCGGCGCCATTCTGACAGAACCATGGTGGCAATGCATCCTGCTCCAGCTGGAAGCTGAAGTAATAAATGTTTGAGGGGTGCAGAGCTGCATGGGCAGGGAGAAACCAACCTCCGATGCCCCAACACTTGCCTTCAGCGAAGGCATCTGCGGCTGCAACCATGCTGGGTCCAGGGCGCTCTACAAGCTGCAGTGGCTCCTGGGCTGAAAGCACCCTCAGAAAAACCGGGCGACAGTCAGCTCGTCTTGGTTCAGCTTGATTTTGGCAGGGGCGGGCTCGCCAAACTTAAGCCACACCCGGCCGTTCTTCAAAGGGGCTGACAACAAGTCGGCCGTGCTATTCACTGCATGGCCCGCCATGTCCAAGAGGCGCCACCCACACTGCACATCTGAAAAGCGGCAACTCCGCACGACTTTGCAGTTTTGATCCAATGCTTGAAAAAGCTCTTCCAGTTGGGCTGCATCGGCATGGAAGAAGTGAAGTCCAGGCTTGTTCAATGCGAAAAACCAAACCTGCAGCCACCTGGCACCGGAGGTGGCCCAAACAAGGCGGCCGATGAGCTTCTGTAAAACTGCTCTGGATACAGCACGTGGTCGCGAGCACAACTCGTTCAAGGCACCAAGCATGGCATCAAGTTTGTCGCGGGGCAAAGCTGCACTGGGTGCACCGCTGAAATCAAGGTGCCACCCTATCCAGTGGAGAGCGCTGCCAAGGTCTACCTTATGCCACGAGACTGGAAAACCTAGACTGCAAGCAAGACAAGTGAGTAGGCATGCGGACACTTTGCCTGACTTGGCCGGCAGCAGGGCAAGCAAATCGTCAACATAGATGCTTAGGTAGTGTGCGAAGTGGAGAAGTCTGTGTCCCAAACGCACAAAGGTGCCAGCAAGCCTGGACCACCAATAGCTGCTCCATGCCCGACCGAAGTGGCAAACTTTGTAGCAGACTACCCATCTGCGCCGGCCATCCGGCATTTGGACGGAGAACAAGTTGAGGCCATATTCGCTGGGGTGCAGTTTCACTCTTTTGTGGGCTTTGTTGAAGTCAAGGCTGAATGCGACCCAAGCCTGCGCACGATATTTGGATACAAAGACTATCGAGACCAGGCAACTCGATCTTCTCTGCAATGCGGCACAAGCAGTTCACATTTGAGATTGTGCTGTCGCCGATGAGCCGTGGTGGCGCCCCCGGCTTTTCCACAATGCCAAGCTTTCCCGCCGCGCAGTCATCGCCAAACTTGCGCTTCACATCAGCAATACTGCCATCAAACCACTCAGCAAAGCCAGCATCTACATCTGCCTGCACCAAGTCCTGCAACAGGCCAGGCTGCTTTAGCCCGGAAGGCCAGGGCTAACTCCATGTGAGCAGTTCAAGGGGCGGCCGCTCTGGGATCTCAAGCTCGCGCCATACCCCTGACGCTGGAATAGTGCTTCTGACACCGCAGGACACGCCTTCAGCTAGCTGTGCCGGCAAGCCTACATCCACGTCTGACCACAACTGCAAGCAACCTGACAAAAGATCCAGATCAGCGCAATGGGCTGCCCGCTCGCGATGCTGCTGCTGCTGCATGCAAACCCTTGCTTTTTCAGAAAAGATGCTAAGTCGTCGCGTAGACAAGAGATCTCTTCATCTTTCAACAGGGGTGTGCGACAGCGCGCTGCCACGTGAGCTGCAAGCCTGCTTACCAGATTCCATCCAAAAATCCTCTGCCACCATTGCTGCCGAAGAGCATGAAAGAGGTCAGCGTCGCGTGGGGAAGCACAGTCGGCGTCTGACAACAAGCCACCGCCATCGCGCAGGCGCAGGGCAGGGCGCTCGCCTGTCGGCTGCACGCGGTCACCAGGGAGTCACCTGTACGAGAAGGCCGCCCTTCTCGGACCACTGACGGGAGGCGGACCAACTCCAGCAGTGAGCTACTCGACCCCTTCTCACCGTCCAGGTTGCGCACTGACGTGCTTGCGCCCTGTCACTGCACTTTGTCTCCTTTGTCACAATCAGCTGAGCTATGCTGTCCACTGCCACACTTGGCACAAGCATGGCGAAAGCGGCAGTGGGGGTCCTTGCACTTGCCTGCCAGCCACTTCCAGCACTCGCCAGTGCGGGGGCGTTTGCTTGGTGGGACTGCACGATCTTCTGTATCAGACCGCTTCTTGCCTTTCCCTTTACCTTTGGGCAAGGAAGGCTCAGGTTTGCTTGGCTTGTTCTGCGGCACTAGCAGATGGCCCGGCATGTCACGCTCTACTGCAACTTGGTGCACTGCGTCATCCATCGACACACCGCTGAAACACAAATCCATGATTTCTGCGAAACAAGCACGGTCCGCCTCTTCTGCTTGTGTTCCATTGGGGCCACGCTGCCAGGCTGCATGCTTCTTGGTGTAGTAAAGCAAAAACTTTTTGGTGTACATTGCCCACGTTCCCCGGTGGGCAGCTCTGCACATTGCATAGGCATTGCCACGCGTGTCAAGCAGACACTGTATGCGATACGCAGAGTTCACTGCTTCCTGTAGGGGTCGTTCTTCCTTAAGCACACCCATGGAGTCTGCAACAATGGATAGCAGATCTGCTTCGCTGCCCATAGTTCGCTGCGCGCGACTTTCCTGGCTGCCTGCTTCGCTCATGATGCGGCGCCATGGCACCCACTCCCAATGTTGCCCAAGGCACTGGGAATGGATCAGCTGAAGAAAGGGCATTGATGGCAAGGTGTCAGGGCCAAAAACGTGGCTGGGGAAGCGCTTCTCCACTTCCTTCCGCAAGCGATCTCTGTCTGATGTGGAGAGCTTGGTTGGCGCCACGCTTTGCCGCTCTGCCATGCCAGGCTTTGCCCCGGAGCCGCTGGTGCTGCTGCCTCGCTGCAGGGGCCCTTCCACAAAGTGCGGAGCTTTGCAGCCACTGGGTGTGTAGTCCACTCCTCTGTGCTGAGGTTCTTATATGCCTCAAGATCTTTTTGTATGCGACCCAGCCAACCTTCAAGGGCCGCACCATTCACAAAAGCGTTTTGAACACAGCTGCCGAATCATAGCCCTGTTCTGTGATCAATGTCTGCACCGCGTTGGGTACTCCTGCTTTCTCAAGCTCAGAGGCCCACGACATACAGCAAAAGAAAGAAAGAGGCAAATGCCAATCAAGACACGGCGCCACTCGCAACTTGCTTTGCGAACAAAAATGCTAGTGCTTGCTTGCATGCGCAAACAAAACCTAAGCCAAGGTCGCATGCGCAACGTCTCGTGCCTCACGCACCCTGCACCACCATCAGGCGGTCAACCAAACCCGGTGCCTCACGCACCCGCTGCCACCATCAGGCGGCCAGTCAGCAAAACTACAGCAGCACGCTCCTAGACACAGAGCACATGGGCTCGTCAACATTAATGCTATGCTCTAGCCATGCGTGCAGCCAATGGGCAGTGGTCAATGGCATCCGCTGTGCAAACAACGCTGAAAACCTACAGTGCGAGGATCACTCTCCCACACTTCGTACCCGTCATGCAGCCGGGCATTGGGACGGCACGCCAAGGCAAATTTGGAGTCAGCACCCTGTGCCCAACCAGACACGCAATTTAGAATCCAAGGCCCCGCGGCATACCCTGATAGGTGGACACCTGTCGCCTCAACCGTAGTCCCATCCACTTCGCTGCCTTCTGTATCACAGCTACTGCAGGACTCCCTATCACTGTCAAGGCTATCAGCTGCTATGCCACCAGTGGGAGCAGGCAGGGGTTGTTCAGCACCTTACTAAGCAACTTGTACCACGGTCCAGAGGAACATGAGGAGCCCAGCCTTTATGTAGCGCCGCCAGGATGGCCCTTTGGCTCCTAAGCTGTGGCTGAACGCCATCCCGGCCGTATTTGGCAACACACCCTGTGAGGCACTGCGACTACGATGATGGCCTTGAGCAGCACGCTCAGGCTCGGCCAGCCCTAACGCGTTCGCCCAACACAGAACCGTTGCCTTCAAGCTATGCAATGTAAAGCGATGCGCAAGGTCGGCAGACATGCCTCCATGGCATACTAAACAGTGGCGGAATTGTGCCAAGGCCATCGTATAAAACATTGTTTTTTTTTAACAGCCAAAAGGAAGTCTTGCTGAGGTGAGGACTTCCGCATGCTGTCTAGGGTGGCAAACCATTTCTTGCCCCAGTGGTCTCCAGAAATTCCGCAGATCAGAAATGCCCAGGGCATTCCTCGTTTGGAACTCTTAGTCCTCCAGCACCAACCAGCAATGAACCCATCTGTGCAATTAATCGACGCCAAGTCTAATCTCTGCATGTCACTGAAGCGAAGCCCTGCCCAGGCCATAAACAACAGGCCGCCTAATAGCCAGCTGTCTTCAAGCGTAGAATCCAGAAAAGCGCGCTCCAACAACCGCATTGCATCCAAGGGCAATGGCAGAGCTTCCTTTGTGCGTGACAGACGCCAACAATCCTTACGCTTCCAAGCTTCGATCAACGGCCCTGCTAACAGGGCCTGAAGGGGGCTCAATTCCAGCTTGGCCGAGGCAAATGTCATAGCACTCAGGACACTTAGAGCAGATCGCTGTCTGTTACAGCCGCGATCAGAAAATGAACCGTCCGTCAAGCTTTGCAGGAAGTCCAACAGCTGGGGTAAAGAGGGTGCCCCAGCACAGGTCTTCGATAAAGCGCAAAATGAACACCACACGCGCCATCCCGATAAGGGATTTTCTAGGAACTTTCACAATTCAACTATCACCAGGAAGATGCACAACAGGCCCAAAACCCCCCTACCTGAGACGCAAGGCGCATTTTTCTCATTGGTGGATAAAAAACACAAGTCTCAAACCCGGGGCCAACACTTTATACCAGCTATGCCCGGTCCCCACCTGTGGTACACACAGGACCAACCAGCTGGTCACCAGCTATGCACGGTCCCCACCTGTGACACCCACAGGATCAACCAGCTGGATTTTTAGTCGAGGCGAGGAAAACCATCCCCAAACCAGGGCGGGAGGGTGGGGGCAAACAAACACAACTCGAATGCAACCGCGCCAAGTTGAACTGGAGGAATGCAACCGCACCCCGTCCAAAACATCAGCCCCCTGGTCCCCTCTAGAGCCAACATGCACCTTCTTCCTCAAACAGGCAATTGTAAACAGGGACAGCATTAGAAACTTCAACAATACCACCCCAAACGATATTATGTTTATGCGTTCCATCAAATCCCTCTTAGTTGCACGTTTGCGTGCACTCCGCGGGATTTTCTAGGAACTTTCACTTTTCCAACAATTGCCAGCATTCAACTATCACCAGGAAGATGCACAACAGGCCCAAAACCCCCCTACCTGAGACGCAAGGCGCATTTTTCTCAGTGGTGGATAAAAACACAAGTCTCAAACCCGGGGCCAACACTTTATACCAGCTATGCCCGGTCCCCACCTGTGGTACACACAGGATCAACCAGCTGGTCACCAGCTATGCACGGTCCCCACCTGTGACACCCACAGGATCAACCAGCTGGATTTTTAGTCGAGGCGAGGAAAACCATCCCCAAACCAGGGCGGGAGGGTGGGGGCAAACAAACACAACTCGAATGCAACCGCGCCAAGTTGAACTGGAGGAATGCAACCGCACCCCGTCCAAAACATCAGCCCCCTGGTCCCCTCTAGAGCCAACATGCACCTTCTTCCTCAAACAGGCAATTGTAAACAGGGACAGCATTAGAAACTTCAACAATACCACCCCAAACGATATTATGTTTATGCGTTCCATCAAATCCCTCTTAGTTGCACGTTTGCGTGCACTCCGCGGGATTTTCTAGGAACTTTCACTTTTCCAACAATTGCCAGCATTCAACTATCACCAGGAAGATGCACAACAGGCCCAAAACCCCCCTACCTGAGACGCAAGGCGCATTTTTCTCAGTGGTGGATAAAAACACAAGTCTCAAACCCGGGGCCAACACTTTATACCAGCTATGCCCGGTCCCCACCTGTGGTACACACAGGATCAACCAGCTGGTCACCAGCTATGCACGGTCCCCACCTGTGACACCCACAGGATCAACCAGCTGGATTTTTAGTCGAGGCGAAGAAAACCATCCCCACCTAGAAGGCGCCCGAGACTTGTAACCACACACTATAGACCCTGCAATTCTTTAGCCCCACGGGTCCGATACCCTCAAGCCGTCAGTTCTGCGACACTTGGATCGCTGCTGCACCAACGGCTCACGCCCGGCCGTTGTTTGGCTTATTTCTTCATAAAGATCCTGTCCTGCTGCCAAAACCTGATTCAAAACAATGCCTTCAAATTTTGCTACGTTGAACCTGCAACGCTTTGCTGGATCGAAGGCAATGTAACATTGGTTCGTCAAGGCATCGGCTTCTTCATTTTGCAGCCGCGGCAGCCAGAATAACCCCAGGTCAGCCTCCCGCCTCTGCAGCTGTAAAGCCAACTCCATCAAGAAGCAAGCCAAGGGGAATTTCGTCGTAAGCAACCGCGCCACGACCATGGTGTTTCCAGGGTTATCCGTACCCGCGGAGCAACTCACGCTACCTCGAATGCACTCAGGAATGCCAAAGGTCACCACGGCTGCTGATGTAATGATGCAATCTGCCCGTAACATTCACCAGCGGCAAACAGCCAGGGGGCGTTGGTGTGGTCTAACTGCTCAGAAAACCAGCGGCAACGCTTTGTGTCAGAGTGATCTAGAGCCCAGCCCCCCAGCCAAATCTGATTGCCTTCTGCCTTTGCATCTGTACGGAAAAGTTCCCGTACATGGCCACGCTTGCTTCCAACCTTAGCCAAGCGGCCTGAGCCGTCCAACGCCGCCGCCAAGAACCTGAAGATTAAGACCAATGCCTTTGGGGCCTTACACTCTCCAAAGCCGTTCATTGCTGCAACCCATGCGTAGATGGGCCCTAAGAAAGGCCTCAAATGCCCAGCGCTGTTAAACCAAAGGACAGGCGCCCAACAACAGAAGCAAGATCAGCAATCTTCACTGTGCCACGCTGAGCGGTTGCTGTTAACCAATTGATCAGCCATTGAGCGCGCAACTCTGACAAGCCCAGCCTCGCACCTTTCAAGCACAATCGGAAGCCGACCCACTCCACATCTATGCCACCCTTGAACTTCTTCCACACAAAAGGAAGCCCAAAACTTCTAAGTAGAAGATAGACATCACAATGAGTTCCAAACCCTTTGCCTCACGAACCATCCACAGGAGGTCATCGACATCTCTACAAACTTCACTAGCATGCATCACAAACCAGGAACATACTAATAGGTGAATAAACCTGACTCCTGCCCAACCACCAGAGCACTAATCCTTTTTCATGGATTGGCTTGATCACACACAGGTGGAGCAGCTGCTGGGCAGCAGCAGCTCCACCACACCAGCCCCGCAGGGCCATGAGCACTTGGGCTCAATCCCAAACATAGGCAAAAAATCTTTCAGTGCCCATGTTACAGCTTGCACCATCAGCAAGCAACTTCATAAACACCTGACAAAAAATTGCCTGTCACAAAATCAAGGCCAGGGGGCCTAATCCAAACTTGCCCCAAACAGGTGGCAATGTGGAGGGTAACAACCCGTGAACCAATGCAGGGAGGGGTGGGGTGGAAAAGAGAAAACAACAAACAGGCAAGCGGGTTGGAAAGCACTACCTCTCAGGGAAAGGAGAGATGAACAACTACTAGCCCAACCAGGCTTGCCACTAGCTGCAAAGCATGTTCAGCCAACTCATGAAGCAACAACAGGGTAAATCCCGACAAACCAACAAGGTATGCAAGGTGAAGTTAGAGAGAGTGGTGTTCATGTGTGCAAGCCCACATGAAAACAGCACCTCTACAAACTTCACTAGC